CAGACGAAAACACACGGTAAAACTGCAGCTTTGCTTCAAAATTTACGGTTTCTTTGCTACACGTCTGACGTTCTACCTTCAACAAGAAAAAAAATCTAAAATGCTCAGAAAAACAAATTAGAATATACATATAGCAGATTTTTGTGAATTCAGCCCCCAACATTTCGGTATCTAATCAACAATCATTAATTTGATAAACAGGATAAAATACTTGGCAACTTCTGTGCTTGGAAGCACCCACAAATATAATTTTATGGGCTCTTCAAAGTAACAATTTACAAACAAATTGATGAAAATAAAATAATAATAATAATAATAATAATAATAATAATAATAATAATAATAATAATAAATGACAATCGGAGACTTTATGGGAGCATCTCCAACAAATTTTAGAAACTAGATTCCGTATTCGGATCACTTTCCCCAATAACCGCTCCTCAATATTTTATTAAAAAATCGCTACGGCGAAAGCAAAATGGGGAAGTCGGTGTTGGGGAAGGCTCCTGGGCGACCTTCGCGTTGAGCGGCGCGCCTCTAATGAGTGGGTGGCATGCATAAGCGAGCGCACGGCGCCCCGCTGCACGAAGCGGCGCCGGTACCGTTCCCACGCTACGCTAAGGCTTCTGTACTCGCCGACTTCCCCGCCGTGTGGAGCTAGCAGGGAAAACAAGGCCGTTTACACGTTCGGAAGCTCACAGAACTTCTTCTATTACTCGAAACGAAAATTAATAACTATTCTTATTTATTCGAAAATTATGTAGTCTTGGATATTTAACGCTCGCTTAGGTATAGTGCACTTATTCATCTCCTTCTGACATACGAAAAAGGGTGTATCCTGTATAGCAGGACAGAAATTTTGCGGGCTTAAACTCCAGGAAGACAGGCGATAACGTATGACATTACGAATGCGGATAAGAAAATGCTGCTGTTGATCTCGGAATAATAGACTAAATATATCAGCAATAGTGAACTTTTTTTTTTCTGGGCTCAAGCAGTGATCATGTACATGTAGTCCACACATTTCCCGGGACGAGATTGAAGACGAAATTTCTGCCTTTTGATTTAGGTAAATAATACGCAGAAACACAGATCGCAAAGATAAATATTCAACCGACCAAACCAACAAGTGAACAGATATAATGAATATAGAAAAAGTTTCATAGTAAGAAAAAGCTTCACGTAACGCCTATACCAAGGTACCGTCCGTGCAGAAACAGTTCACTCCAAATGTCTCAGCGTAATCTACATTCCCTTCTCACAACTTCACTCTCGATGTTGAAGAGGGCTGCATTACGGACAGCACACTGTTGTCTGCCAAGCGCAGTACGCGCTGTTTTCCACGCATGCGCGCGAGCGCGGGGCCCGGCCCGCGTGAACGGCCGCGTCGCGTCGCGTCGCGTCGCGTCGGCAGTCGGCGGGGGCGAGTGCCGGCGCCGGGAGGCAGCGGTTGCGTGCGCCAGCAAAAACACGGCGCTCTCCGCGCGTCACGAGACGAGGAAACGCGATGCGCTGTCGCATTAACGGCCGTCGCAAGCGGCGGCGCCCGGGAAAGAGTCGGCTCCGCGGATTGAACGGCACGTAGTTTCCACGCTGCCTTCAAGCGCTCGCTGCAAGATCGTGAAGCTTCTGAGTGTTTCAATTACTTCCTACGAGTGCCAATGTCATGGTCACCTGTATTTGCGGAATTTTCATAGTGAACTCTTGCGATTTATGAGAATTTTATTGGAAGAATCTGAAAGAATAACAACAGGAAAATCTTGCCATTAAACATCTAAATTTAGACACTGATCATTGATTTAACTTTTGAGCTAAGATTTCAAACGGGGATTTTATAATTCCAACATTTGTTACAGGCTTTTAACATCCATTCGCTATATGTACTCTATATTTTTGGGGATGAATTTTTATTCAAAACAAAACCCGATGACGTACGAGTGAAGTTTTCCTCCAAATTTTCTCATTTCAGAAGAGCCAGACACTTACTACGAATTCCACCGTGTTATCAAGCTTGTGTCAAATCACCAACGGCAGAATACTAACCCCGTTTTCCCTATTGAGCGGACACCGAAAAGCTACTGTTATACCTAACTTCGCGGGTTCAAACCCGATCAAAGCAGTGGATGTTTAAGGACGACAAAATCCTTCGTATGCGTTCCTTCAAATGAGTAGTAGTAAAGCCAGCTGTCCCGTGTTCTAGATTTACAGCACGTAAAAGATCCTGAAGGCTAAGTCAAATTCAAATCGTCAGTTTCGTCGCCCGAATGATACCTTCTTTCGAAAGGAGCGCAGCGAAATTTGCATAGTCAGGCGGAAGAGCCCGATGGTGTGAGCCTCGCCATGTACAATAAGGAAGGCACCATGGACTGATGGATGGGAAAGCCACATCGCGGCGACATTTGGTGTCACCGCAGCGCCAACTCCGCTGGGAGTCGGCAGCCCTGACCAACTTTCCCGAGCAGGGCGGCGCCCAGGCAGCCTCCGGACGCCGCCGCCCGCCCGCCCGCCAGGCTGACTGCGCGGCGCTTCGCGAAGCCTTGCGACACCGCCCGGCGCGCACAAATGCGTCCAAACACCCGCGCATTCCGCCCGCCCAGCCCACTCGCTTGACGACGCACACTTCTCGCCGACTCGACCATTTAAATTAATTCAAAAATTCAAACTGTTTTTTTGTTTTTGTTTTTTGTATTGTTATTTAAGATCGCATCAACTACTAGGTCATTAGCGACCACTATTGCTTGTAACGGTATGGTAACTGTGGGTTGACACGATAATGATGATGATAGGGGGTGAAAGGACGAAACACACAATACAACCATGCCCGAGGCGGGACTCGAACCCGCGATCCTTCGGTCCGAGTTCGCTACGGCACTACTGCCTTAGCGATCTCGGCCACCGGATCGGCAAACTGTTTCTTGTAACGCACAAAATTACGAATTTGAATTTAAAATAACATGGTACAAGAAACACACTAGCAAGTTTTGCATTGTCTGAATGCTAGATGTTAGATTTAGCCAACATACTGCGAAAGCAGTGCTCCTGCCAAGGGAGTATTTGGAATTTGCGCACGACCTGCAGCAAAATTAACTCAGGCGATTACTGGTTAAACCGGAATTCATCATTAATATTAATGACTAATAATTATCATCACAGGAGCCATCATGATTTGTGGTTCCAGGAATTCCGGCGATTGCTCCTGGTACTCGGAAGGCGAAGGCGGTAGTGCAGGGGGGGGGGGGTTAAGGAATTTCGACTGCCGCGAAGCTAAGTGAAATGCTGAAATCAAAGCCCTGTACAACGTCCATTTACCCGCAATACGCAGCGGTCTGAAGCACCCTTTATCCTATTTCCTCGTGCCTTAAAATGTTAATATTTTGACTCTTTAGCGCCTTCCGATATATTCATGAATTGCAGATAATCGGTCATAAGTAACACGCATAGGTTGCCGACCTCTGTCGTAAACGTTTCTGTTCAGAGGTAACACGGAATTCGTTTCTGCCAATAGTTACAAAATAAAATACAATAATACTGTGTTAAAAAGTGCAAATGGAAAAAATATATTAACAATAAGTGTCGGACGCTATGAATCAGCATCCACAAAGCTTAAATATATAAATGACACCTACGATTTCTTGTCATTGATTTCGTATATTCATAGGGCAAAATTCGAAGCTGGAAAAATGACATTCTGTTATTCTTATTTACTTTTATAGACGTTAAATAAATTTTACACGGAAATAAATCTTACACATCTTTTTATTTCATCTTAAACCAAAAGCGAACTGAGCCTTGTGGGAAGTGGAGCGCACAAAAACTACATTAGCACGTATGAAATTCAATTCATGTAATGTTCAAATGAAATGAGTTACGACAGGAAAACGAATCGACTCAGGAATAGTAACATTGTCACGCGAGCAAAAAGTGTACGATCTTTATGAATGACCTTTAATCTCCATATTCGTGAATGAACTTTTACAACGCCTCAACTGATACAGCGCATATACTCGTAAATAGATTCCAGTTCTTAAGATGGACAAACCAGTTTTCCTTATCATTTGACTTTTCATTCATTTATTACAATTTGATTATTTTGTTCCTTAATGGGTGTTGTCTTAGGATTCGGTACGCCATTGCCACTAATAGAGATAATACGAAACCGTATTACGTAAATTAAACAAAGCGGAATGACCTTTTCGTGTCAGGCGATTGATGTCCAAACCACTCCAGGGAACGATCCCACGTCGCACTAACTGCCCAAAAAGAGAAAGCAGAAGTCGGGTTTATTGGCGTGGACCAATTAGTATACACCCCCGGCGGACCAAGGATCCAATTAGGGCAGCGGCCTCGTCAAACCGGGGCTCATCGCGACTCTCGCTCGTCAGGGTTCGGAGCAGGGCGCGCCGGCGGCCACAGCAGCGGAGGCGGACGCGGAGGCCGAGACGAAGATGGGGACAGTGGCGGAGGATGTGGAAGCTGAGGCAGTGGTGAAGACAGTGTCGGTGGTGGAGGTGGAGGTGTAAGTAGTGGCGGACACAGAGATGGAAGCGAAGGTGGAGACAGTGGTGGAGACAGTGGCGGAGGCTGTGGCGGAGGCGGTGGCGGAGGCGGGGGCGGGTGGCGGTGGCGGAGGCAAAGGCAGTGGGCGAGGCGGGAGGCGGTGGCGGAGGCGGTGGCCGGAGGCGGTGGCGGTGGCGGAGGCGGTGGCGGAGGCAGGTGGCGGTGGCGGGGGCGGAGGCTGTGGGGAGGGCGGTCGCGGAGGCGTGGCGGAGGCGGAGGCGGTGGCGGAGGCGGAGGCGGGGCGAAGGCGAAAGCAGTGGCGGTGGCGGAGGTTGGCGTTGGTGGAGGCGGTGGCGTTGGCGGAGGCGGTGGCGGTAGTGTGGTGGAGACAGGGTCGGTGGGGAGACGGATGCGGTAGCGGAAGCAGAGATGGAGACGAAGGCGGGATGAAGCAGGCACATATGAAGGCGAAGATGGGGTCAGTGGCGGAGGAGGAGGAAGAGATGGAAGCTGAGGTGCTGGCAGAAGCGGTGGTGAGGACAGTGTCCTTGGCGGAGGGGAGCGGACGTGGAATTGTCAGCGGTGGCAGAGATGGAGGCAAAAGGGTGGTGGAGGCGGTGTCGGTGGGGAGACGAATGGGGCAGCGGAGGCAGAGATGGAGTCGAAGGCGGGGTCGGTGGCGGTGGCAGAGAAGGTGTCGGTGTCGGGGACGAGGACGGGGTCGGGCTGGTCCCATCTGCATGGCCGGTGGCGAGCGGTCAGCCTTGGCGCCCGGGTCCACATTGCAAATGCAACGCTCTCCTCTCCCACAGGGAGGTCAGGAACGACCGCTCGCCGCCGCCACCGACGACGGCTGCGTCGTTGATTTTCTCGGTACCGTTGCCATCACCACTACAGCAGACATCATCATCGAGACCGTGAATGTTTTCATGTCAACATAATTATCACAGACATTGCAACGAATTTGTAAGAACCTTCAATGCAATATTCGTTCATTATACGTTGTCGGCGTCAACTTCTTTGCAGTTGCCCTCGTCTTTGAAAATCGCCAGTGATCGTTATTGCTATCGTTTTGCAAGTTGTTAGTACTTTCGTGTCACTGCCTGCGCTGAAAGTGGCAAGATAATTATAAATTCCCGTCACAACAGAGTATCGCAGTTCGCAAATGTATAGTAACCCAGACAAATGCTTTTCGGAGGAATGCTAAAGCTAACAACTACAAAATAAATACCTGTCCGACATTTGTTAAGAATGAGAACAACTGTCAGGTCAAACCACACTTGTACTGATTTATACTTGCAGTAGTAACGCAAATTGTCTCATGTTTCAAATTGTCTTATAAAACAATAGCGAACGAGGACGATGGAGCAATCAAATCGTTGCAACACGGTGGCCCAACAATGGAGCTACAAGGAATCAGGGCAACAGTTCCTGGCTCTTTTCCATGCTGGACCTCATTTCCATAGGGGGAATTGAAAGGGAAATCATTTCAATGCTGACAACGGACAAGATAAGAGAAGTACGGTTTTGGGCATACAAAATAATTAAAGAAACTGCTAAGAATGTATAATATCGGTTTAATGTATTTACATTGGAGCATTTGATTTTGAGAATGGAAGAAATTCCCAATGAGATGTTTTTGTCAATTGAAATAAAGATAAGGCGCGAGTGATAGAGAAGCAAGAACTTCGAGGACAAAAAGAACAATACATCTCTTTTCAGCTATTATTTTGTCTGCGCAATTGCATTGCAGGAAAGAAAAGTCTCGAGAAAATAGTTATTACAACGACAATGATTTTATTGAATTCATTAATAGGCACAAGTTCATAAAGCAGTTGCGCCCTGAAAATTGCCCGTTTCTTTCACGGAAAAGTATTAAACTGAAGTGTTGATTCAACTAGTTGCTTGGTATAAAAGATACCATATATGTAAGTGAAAAATAAAAAGTTCTAAAAGTATTGTATCTCACGAGTTCCTTAATCTAAAATTAAAATCAAACCTGCAAATATTGGTGAACGATGCGCACCACGTGTTGAAAACCATAAATTATTAAGTAAAGAAATGCTGAAGTATGAAAAGCATTATCCGAAACTACATCAAAGTATGCAAAGTTATGACACTTGGTATAGTGGAAACATTAGATAAATGAGAAAACAAAAAGTGATGAAATAAAGTACATTTTCAGTTTCTAATTTTAACCCTATACTATATATTATACTTTTTCTAATGATTCATTTAGTAATTCCAGGCGCGTAAACTGGCAAGGTCAATAGTCCCCTAAGTGTAGTGCCTGCTTTTATCGCGCGTTGTGGGTGTGATTTTCCTCCCGCTGGATTGCATGATCCGGCGCCAACCTTTTTGTCGATTTGAGTTTTTCCCCAACCAGGTATCTCCCACCAGCGTACACCGCTCAATCTCAGACAATCTACGTGTAAGCTCCCGACTGATCTCCCGCCATGTGTAGTGGAGTAGTGCATTAAGAGAGTATATAAGAAAGAGGTAAGGAAGGGAAAAGGAAGAGAAAGAAAAGACAGCGCGCGGTCTGTGGCTGGTTCGTAAGAGTACTGCTGCGGCATTGGCCTGGCGTTGACCGGAGAAACTTTGGAAAACTACCGATCAGAGCAGCCGATCGCAATAATTTTCCTCGTTAGCTGACTTGCTAATGTCAAAAATCCTTCCAAAGACCATCGCGACTGTAGCCCTATAACCTTCCGGTCACTTCAGTGATCAATTGGAGCCCTTAGCCACCTAGAACGATATACTTTTTCTAACATTTTATCGGAACCTACAATAAAACAGTCCGCTAACACATAGACAAACATCTCTTTGGCCGGAATTTCGGCCCACTGTGCCTCGCGCCGCGGACCAGCGAAGCTCAGCGGGCCGGGCAGCGGCGGCGGTAGCGGCCTTCCTCGACCTTGGGGCGCCCGCCGACGCACGCAGGGCCCTCGTAGCCGCTGGCGGCGGCGGCAGCGGCGACCGCCCGCGCCGCTCCCACAATCAATCACGCGCGCTAATTACCGCCTGCGACCCCGCCCCGCCCCGCGCGCCTTCCCTCTGCAACTTTTTTTTTTCATCTGTTTTGAATATCTGTTTGCGTGAACGGTTCGCGTTGGAAATATTGAAATCGATCCAAAGTTAGTAAGAGGAGAGCCGGATTATGACACAGACTCTGGTAAAGACAGTAATCTCCAATCATTGTAAGTAATAATTACTAATTATTGAATGTATTTTTACAGATTCAAGATTCAAGCTTAAGCAACCTCGTGTACTACTGCATAGACAAAAATTAAAGAATTGATGATGTAATGACGCAATAAAGTGTTTGTGTAGGGAGATTAATGCGAGCTTACAGAGGAGCTTCATGAGTTTGTTTCCATAGTTGTTTTACTCTGCGATTACTGCATAGAGAAACAAAGTCTATGGGCCTGAAACTGTCATTCAGGAATACAAAATTATTTTTTATTTTTATTTGTTTTGTGATTTTATATGATCTCAATGTTGTCCTTGGCCATTTTCTAATAACAATTAAATGTTTCTTCTTTAGCTTGTTTTTTTATAACATATTTATTACAAAAAACTTTGTTAAACTGAACAAAGTTTCAGGATGTTATGCCATGCCATCCCATCGTCAAGTTCTGTCAACATTTACTACAAAACCTGACGATGGAATGGCATTATATCCTGAAACGGTGTTCAAATTAATGTTTTTTGTAATAAAAATGTAAGAAAATAAGCAAAAGAAGAAATATTTGTCTTTAGAAAATGGTCAGAGACAACAAATAAATAATTATTTGTAATATTCAGCATAGATAACTAATTATGCCAGAATGAGGGTCAAAGTTTTCAGAGGCAGCTCAGATGTTGTCTAGTTTTAACAATATAAAATATTAATAATGAAAAAAATACGAATATTATATTTTCAATCAAAATTTCTCAACATTTTATTTCATATATTTTGTATACATCCCGTACGTATTTCTTCTTTCAAACTTCTTGTACAATTTGTGTGACTGGAGGTTCATTCCTGTCTACGCGCATGCACAAATGCTCCATTCTTTTTAGCCTCTTAAGAATTAAGATTAACTACACACTAAAAATCATTAATACGGTTTGAAATTGTTCTCACTGTTACCGCTTTTTCTTACGGTTTCTTCTCTCCTTGCCGTTTCATTCTCGACTAATCTTCCCCCCTTCTTTTATTTTCTTGAGCTTCTCAATTGTCTACGCGGCGCTGTCAGCGGCTTGCGGCCCCTTTCGCCTGCATTCCCTCGGGGCACACGAGACCGCCCCGCCCCGCTGCGGATTAGGGAAAACAAATGAGAGGTAATTGAGTCGGGGCGCGAAAAAGGGGCAGGAATGTTTCCGGGGGGAGGGGGTGCGCGCCCCGGGGCGGCCTTGGCAGGTCGCGAGGGGGAAATGCCTGGCTCCAAGGTTTTTGTGGAACGCGGTTCCCGGGGAGCGTGTTTGCTCAGGTACCTGCTCGCCGAGGAACGTTTTCGTGGGAGATTGATGAGGAGAGTGATTTCTTGACGAATCACAGGCTGGACACGTGCAATGAAGACGCCACACGAGTGAAAAGAGTTTCGCGTTCCGTTGGGACTTACGTCGCCATATTAAACAATACGACATGAGATCAATTTATTATCGCAAATTTATTTGCAATGGGAACCGTAATCATTAGAAACCGACTGATCTGAGCAAGGGACACATTTCACTTTAAATTCGTTCTTAGAAGTGGGAAGAACTTTTATTCGATTCAGCTTTCATGGTTGCCTATGATACCAAATCGAAGATAGTGAGTAAAACAAACAAAAATTATTTTGCTGTGAACAAAATACAACGGTCGAAAATTTCAAGGTACAAGAAGTAAACTTGCGTGATACTGTAACAAATAAATGCACCACATCATCTTCGCTTACTTTGTCCTAAAGGGAATTGTCATAATAAACATTAGTACAATGGCTGTAATGACGCTGTTACAAACTATACGATGATGGCTGCAAATACATCAGTATTCTTAAAACAATTGCTGAGATTACTTACTAATCATTTTGGGACCAACAAATTTTACAGGCAAGGCGATAGACATAATTTCTGCTGTCATTTAGAATGCACAAATTAAAGCAAAAAAAAGTCACACCAAAAAAGTACTGGGGGCCAGAGTTTCGCAAAAAACAAAAAACACGACTGCACTTAAGTAGTATTTTAGTTCTTTATTTATCACAATGTACCATGTATTCTTCATAGCGCATTCGAATTTGTACTTTCAAACACGTTTTACGAACAATAAGACACTTGACGCACGCACATCTCGGCTCGCACAGAACGTGCCATGCAAGTTGCTTGGCGGGTGGTTGGCGGTAGTGGAGGAAAGCCACGGGCTGGGAAGACCCCCTTTTCATCACGGCTATTTACTGCGGAGAGCCTTACGTGACTTCAGGAACTTGTGAAGCATCGGCAGGGAGGCAAAGGTCTAATGGCCACGCAGGCCTCGGCGTTTGAATGGTCGCGCCACACGGACGCAGTATCAGCAGCATCCAAGGACGGGCGCATTTTGGTGCTTTCATTATTCAATACATCGTTAATTTGCGTATCTATAAGATCTACGAATAAAGTCGTTAACGAATACGGCTGCACCGAGGATACCCATAAAATCGAAGCAGTTGAGAATGTGTTTAAATCAATTACCGCCAAATTCTGGAATAATTTACGATTCGATAAAATGCTACCTCACAGAATAGATCATATTCAATAGCATTTTTACAAAGAGTTTTTTAAAATTAGCTACTCTCAAGAATTTAAATATTCTGGACGTACTGTTTCTTTGACACATTTATTTGTTCAAATATTAGCATGACTCTCAGAAATACTTGCACAGTAATTACTCAACAGACACCCCACCAAATTATTCTTCGAACGTTTTGAACAATTTTATAAACTTTCCCACGAAAGCTTATTACAACGAATGTAGGAACATGGCGTTTTTGGAACCAGTATACGACCCTGAATCATACGTTCACACGTAGAAAACCTCAAATTAGCATACCGTGAAGTTAACATAAGAAATTGCCGCCGAAGGAAATATCTCAGCGACGATCTAACGCGGTGAGTGCCAAATTGCCACTGGGGCCCTGACTACTCACTTTTCCTAAGACGCAGCTCACGTGCGGTGACTGGCGAAACACTTAACTCCGCTAAGCCTGCGATTTACCAAATGGCGTGTAATATGCCGGCGACTGAACGTCACTTGTTCGTCTGCTCACGGAGTAACGGTTTCAAAACGATTGAAGTGGATAAAAGTAAATGTCATGCACTGTCTAGAATTAATAAGTGGAGGAAGTCAGTAAAGAAAACGAAATGCGTATTCTACATTCAAATATCAAGGGTTTTGATAGTTCCATTGTCTAGTTTTAGTACAAGGTTGTAGCACTGGGTTTTCAAACAGAACTCAATTTATTACGTTCACATCACGGTCAGCAGTCCTCACACAGATTCCTTCTCGAACACTTGTTCAGAAATTGAGCGCAATTATTTTACATTTATATAAAAAATGGGATAATATTCAAATTAATATTTTGAAGTCAATAACTCACGAAGGATATTTTTCATATTATGTTATCAAGAATCGCACTAACATTGTTTTGAAAAATAAAAAGAGGAACGCCCCTTTTTCTCGACAACACGAAGCCAACACAAAAAAAAAATTATGAACAATAGCCGATTCCACTACCGCAGACATTCGGCGTTTTCCATTGGACGCCCGTCTCAAAAGAACGTCCCTCCCATTAGTTTCTTTGGCCAGTGGAACGAATCGAGTGCGATACCATCGAACGAGCGATATATCGAGTGCAGCCTCTGCCGACAGCCCCATATCGGGCGCGAGCACTCGCAAGCGCGGATAATCGATGCTCTGGAATATTCTCGCCCGAGCGACGAGACGCGACGCGACGCGCTACGGAGCTCCCGAGTAATGGGTAGCCACTCGGGGCGAAGCGAAGGCGACTTACGATAATTCTCCAACAGCCGCTTAGCAGGATAAGCACGTGCGCGTCATCTCGGACGGTCGATGGTTCAATTAGACTACTGATTGGCCCCGCTCCGGCCGGCCACGGCGAAACCACGTCACGGACGTGAGTGAATGCGAGGTGGCGCCGTAAAGCACTCGCTTGCTTGGAAGCGCCGGGGGAACAAAATGTTCCGTTCGGAGGATATCGAGAGATTTCAATGAGCGACGACTATCCCTTCATTCCACAGATATTATATTGTAACCTATACTGAAGGGCATGTTCATCTCACACCAAACACAAGATATGGGCAACTCTCAATTTGAAGACAATGTCCACACTTTACCTCGTGATGAAATTAATTGGCCATGTCTGTCTTGTTATCCATACTTTTCCAATATAAGTTTTTTTTTCTTTCAGGAATAGAGTAAAGCACCAGATAATATTTAAGTACATTATTATAGAGCTTTCGAGTAATCATTGTAAGAAAACATGGCACAGAATAAGAGCATGGTCTGACACTGCCGGTATAAACCATGAACTCGAGTGAGCAAGGGATGATAGAACATTAATCGGCATGGGTACGGCAGAACGACCTCTAGCTCGCTACCGGAGAGAAGAATTATTATAAAAAATAATATCCTGTACCTTGCGGTACTACAGAACATGTTGAACAGTTCATTTTAATCACCACTATTAATCACGCACAGTACTGCAACTCACAACCAGAACAACTTTCGATCATCCGTCCTCGGAAGCTTTTCTTTATTTCGACCACAGTTACGCCGTCGGTAGAGGTCATTCAATGGTCTATGTTACGATATTCACGATGACGACTTGCCACTTATCGAATTAGAGGCTGCGGGATCGGGAGAACCCCGAAAAAACCTACCGAGCACTGGCTTAGCGTACCATCAACATTTCACATAGCCCCACCGGCACTTGAACCCCGACATCCTCAGGAGCGAAAGTGACCGGGTTCCCCTGCAACGGGGCCCGGCAGCAGCATCGCTTGGACCGAGCCTTCCTCGGGAGGCGCGCGAGGGCGCTAGCGCTTCGGCGCCCGGCCCGCCGTCTAATTACCGGCGCCCATATTTTACGATTTGTGACGCCGACGGATCGCAGCGGCGCGTCTCCTCCGCTGGGCAGCGCGCGCGCCGCGCGTGCTCCGGCCTTGTAAGGAGCGGGGCCAGCGCGTTGCACAACCCTCGCGCGCCCGGACGACCGCTGGCGCCCGCGCACGCCTGCGTCACACGCGCGCTTCTTGTGCTCGAACGGCCGGGAAG